CCAGTATTTTTTTTTTATCATATTTCTTTCCCATAATGCAATTATTGAAAAAGAATAAGAAAACATCGCATAGGAAAGATGAAATTATCGAATAAGAATAAGAAGATTATTAAATAAGAATCGTATCTTTTCGAATAGAAATGGATATCTTTTCGAATAGGAACAAAAACGTTATAACATATAAATCACATAATTTTCGAATACGAGTGACAAAATTATCGAATAGGAATGACAAAATTATTGAATAGGAAACACGTGTTTTCGAATATGAATATATTTTGGAAAAGGAATCATATTATCATATTTTTTCTAATAGGAATAGCAATTTATCGAATAGAAATGACAAATTATCGAAAAGGAATCACATTTTTACGAATAGGAATAACAACTAATGGAAAAGAAATAACATTTTATCGAATAGGAATGATATGTTTACAATAATAAATTCTTTGTATAAAAATAACAAAAAAGTATAATATAATGCAACGTTTTACACGCCACAATATGGTGTTTACATATCCCAACTTATTCCATTCTCAAGGTTATTCTCCGAGCACGATTAATTTTTAAGCCGAGGCAGGCTACCGACAGATAAGTTTGTTACAGGGAGTACTTGAATGCTATGGTCGCTTTGTTGACCTTTTTTCACAAATATAACCAACCTATCATTGAATTTATTTGGTCCGATGTGTTTCATGCTAATTGTAAGGCTTTTGCTTTTGTTTTTATACTGAATTTGACTAGATGGAATGTTCTGCCCACCTGATCAATATTTAGGGCTCACGTTCTAGATACATGTACCAGATTCCACCTCTGGAATTTCCAGGGTTTTTTTTGTTTTACGGCCTATTCATAGATTTGTACATGTAATTATTTATGGATGCTATGAATTTTAGAAAGTGATGTCAAAAGTAAGGATGTCATGCATGAAAATAAGTGTAATCGTGTATTGATAAAAAATGTACATATATACTCGGGATGATAGGCTTATTTCTATTATTCTTGAAAAGGGAAAATTTTAAACCGAAATATAAATATATAGATACTGATTAATCCCATAAAACAACTTCCCAGTTCAAAGACAGTCAAACTCTGTTGTGGGGGTCAATATTCAACAGGGTCAATTTTCAACGTGTTGAGGTCATCAGAGATTAGAAAAAAAATTTCAAACTGTTGAAAAATGACCCCGGGTATAAATTCATCGACTTACGGTGTCAATTTTCAACGGAGAAAAAGCACCCCCGGTTCAACATTCAACGTTGAAAAATGAACCCCGTGTCAATTTTCAACTCGGGTCAATATTCAACCTTACACCGGGCTCATTTACAGAGTAGAATTTTTTTTACATGAATCATACATGTACTTTGTATTAACAGGTAAATAATAAGAATTTCAGACACTGGAAAAATATGTAACACAAACAATTTAAAAAAAAATGATACTAAGAAAAAAAGGGATTCAATGACATCTTATTTGAAAATGATTTTTAAAATCTTATGAGAAATTTATTTTAAAATATTAATATGAATGATTGTCTGACGTCATGGCGTCAGACAGTACTAGATTTAGCCAAGGCTTGTTGGTCAAGTCGTTCAATAGAATTCTTGTGATAACTTCATACTATATTAACTATCAACTGGAGTGCATGCTGAGTAAAGGAAACATGCTAAACACCCAAACAAGCCAGAGCTTTGGAGCTGATGTTATTTTTATCACATTATACATTACGCATTACATAACATTCGGCCATTCTCGAATGCATCATTCATGTCCAGCAAAACAGAAGGAATGAAGCTGTTCAGGTCAACACTTGTCGATTGTCTTTATCAGATTAACTAATGGATGTTTATTTTCAATGCATACTAATTCTCTCTATCTTTAGAATTTCTATAAATCTACACATATTCATAACTTGCAGACGTGTGATTTATTCATAGTTAAAAAAATATATATCAAAATGAAGGACAGATGTTGAATATTCTTTTGCTTAAATGCAAAGATGTTAGCTCATTTGTAACACGTTCATCTTTTTTTAAAAAAAAACATTTCTTAATTATCAAAATTGTTCACCAATTGATGTTTAGATTTTTCGTGTTGTAACTTTTTCTTTCAAAAGCATTGGTTATATCTTTGTATCCATGAACAGGCCCGCTGGACGAAATTTCAGAAATTTTCAGTTTAGGATGGACACTATAAAGGAAAAATTCCGTATAGAGCATATAAAAAGTTTCAGAAGTTAATATTTACATGATTTAGGGGTTAGGGACACAAACATAAACTAGCTATATATATATATAAATCGGCAAAATTATCAGGGGCACGGTCCCCACCCCCTATGTCCATGAAAAGAAAGAAATTACAAGTAATGCAGTGTACTATATTGAATAAATTCATGTCCAAGTTTTATTTTATGTTGATGCCACAGAATTGAACTTTTTTTGGTTTCTTAACAAACTAATTCATTTCATGACTCAGAGTCATGTTGATTACACTGGATTTAACTTTTCTTGATTCTTCGCGTAAAAATAAGTTTGCTCAAGTCATACAAGTTTTTTTAGGAAAGCTAATACTTGTAAACCAATTAGTTTTAGGGACCTAATACAACGGGGTCAGAGTTCACCTGGCACCGCTGTATGTAAACAAAAACTGGTTCCCTCTCCTGCCTTTCTTAGTCTTTGTAGAGAACTAGGCTACGACAACAATGACCATCAAAAAGCCTTACGCAAATGAACTATGGTGTTTGACTTAGGACTAGAGTTTTCAATGTCATTACTACTGATGTTTATTTGTATAGATAAAACTTCTCATTTTTGTTGCTTTATTTAGCGTTTGTATTATCTCTAAAGGGGTTGAGAGTACGTACTATATTTTTACATGTAACTTTAATTTGGCGGTGGTGGGGTAGACACTTCCTGCCTGAACAGGCTGACAATAGCCGGCAATTGCTCTCTGAGCAAAAAGCCCGGCTAAAAATTAGTAATAACCAATGTATAATTAACAGGTCTGGGCGGCCTCCGTTTTTGGAGGATAGATTTTATCCTCTAAAGGTGTTGCCACCTACCGGACTTTTCAAAACAAAGGGCAGTTAACTCTTAACCAAACAAATAACAGCAACTCTTGCATTTATGAACCGTCACTGATTTTTCAACCAAAACAAATAAAAGGTGAAATTTCATATGATGATGGATAAATCTAGACATTAAATCTAACTATTTTTGTAAATGCTGTCAATCAATTATTCAGTTTTAAGCTTAGTTAGCAACGATTACCCTTTACCTGTCTGACACGATAATTATAACTAAGCTGATTTTCCAGTACCGTAATTAAGTATAAGCCGTTTACAAATTTTGATAATCAATTTTTTGAAAAAATCAATTTTTATTTCATTTAATGAATAATCCTTCAACACATCACATTTGCATTTTTTTTTTTCAAAATTCATATAATTATACATGTACATATGTACATGTATATAATTATATTAATTTCTAAGTAAACATGTTAAATTCTCTTTTTTTTTTATAATTTTTTTTGCTATTCAAATAATTTATTGAATTTTATAATATCAGGGACCTATTACTTAGTATATAGGTCACTGATAATATTTATTTATTATATAATTAATCATTAAATCCTTTAATTGTTTCATTTGCTTAAATTATAAGACAGAGTATATTTTGCGTTTAAAATACGTTTCCTTCTGTGTTTCCTTTTTTCTCTATTTTTAAATCAAGAGAAAATATGAAAGTAATATTATTTAAGTCCCTATTTTTTGTCTTGATAGGGAAAAACATAAAAATATAACAAAATGTCAAGAAATATTAAGTAAAAAGAGTGTAAGGAGTGCCAACTTTGAAAGCGTACAGCAGACTCTCAAATCGCCACATACAATCGATAGTTTAATGTCTGAACTTTTGTTTACATGCACCTTTTGATTAAAGGTAGACACGAGGCGTTTGAAAATTACCTGTGTTATCCTCTGAAATCGGAGGATAAAGTATCCCACAATGCAATGCGGTTTCCATATATGTTTAAAAATTTCGTCGCCATATTGAATCTAGCTATCCTCCAAAAACGGAGGCCGCCCATACCTGATTAATGATGTTGTATCTTCGGAATGTTGAAGGCACAGAGGACATTATTTTTTTGTCAGGTACAGAGGTAGCGATCGTAGACTATTATATAGAGACCGTCAACTTTGAAAGAAAATTCATCTTTCGAGATTTTTTTTTGGGGGGGGGGGGGGGGGTTAAATACGGTGATCGAGGTAAAGAATCTGACTTTTTTCTGACCGTTTGAATGATATTTGCAAGTAAAAAAAACACATACACAGAAAAAACGGGGACTTTGATGTGAAAGTGCTATTTGGAGATAAAAAAGAGAATGACTAAAATTTGAGATAAAACGTATCATTAACTAAATAAGGATACGCGGAGTAAAAATACGGGGAGGGGGGGGGGGGGGGATAAGGAGTGAATATCGACAAGCAGATATGTTACAGTGTACTATTCTTGAAATTAAAAATATTGACTTAATTCATTTATCAGCCATTGCCAAGGTCATTCATTCATCCGTCAAGGTCTTGACACAGTATGGCTTGATGCTAAAGTGGGCGTGAGTTAAAAAAATGGTTCTTCTGGCTAATACACCACGGCAACATCAAAGTAAAATCTAAATACGGCCAGTCCTATGGTACAATTTTATTTACTTTCAAGTAGTTCTATTTGGATTTTAATGTTTAAAACGTGTATTTGGTCAGTTCATGCTGTGCCCCAAAACTATACTATCGGAGATGTGTACATGTCGACAGCCAGGCCAGAAAATCACTCCAGTGTAACAAATGCATCAGGGTTTATATAGTGAGTTCAGGTACCCAAAGAAATATGGCAATTGTATTGAATTATATAAATGCAAGTTTGGGAGAAAAAGTTTTTGAGAATGATCACTGTTCGTTATCTTCACCTTTTTATTTCCAGTTGAAGAACAAAAACCATTTTAAATCTATTTTTACAATTTTTTTTTTATTTTCAGAATATTGGTATCTATCTGATTGTGACAACTGAAATAAATATCATCCATAAAGCCATCTTTATGACAATTACAATGCATTAAAAGCTCAAACATTTTATGAACACAAGTTCATATTAAAAAAAACTGATCTCTTGATTCTTATTGAAAAAAAAGCAGGCATCCCTACTATTTCTTTTAATGATGTATAGAATATTAAATTAATATTTATTGCTTTATGTCTTTCACCTATACAAAAAATGAATACAGAATTTGATGATGGAATATTCAACATTAAATGCACAAAAAAGGTAAATGAAATAATCACATTTAAATACAAAAAAGTTTTGTAGGGAATATGTTCAACTGGTATGCAAGTACTAACATAAGGAGATAACAAGAAGAAAATGCCAAACTTTACAACAATTCATAAAACATGTTACTTTACACAACTCTACATAAAAAGAAATAAATTCAGTGAGCATATAAGTAATTCAAAGCTATTTTTAGGATTTGGAAATGATACAAAAAAGGGAAAGAAATACACAAGAAGCCCTAGGGTCTTAATGGTCACCCGAGTATAATACAACCCTGTAAAGGATCCATGGAATGGAAAACAATAATTATATAATAACATAAAATAAAAGTTAAACTTAAAAACAAGAGGAAAAGGCTCTAGGAGCAACAAATAGTTAGTCAGGTAATCAGCAACAACTCAGAAACTGGCCTTTATAAGCCAAGCTATTTACACTCTATTTACGCTGATTAATTATTATACGTGAATAACAAGAGAATGATTTTTCTGAAAGCAGATCAAATAATCCCATACATGATCATAATACAGCCCCATCTTAACTCCAGAAACCATCACCCAGGGGCCATGATTTTCACAATTTCTGAAAGAAACATTCTTTATTAATTATCATAACCATGCACTAAGTTTTTTTTTCTGCTAAATACTCAACAGCAGAGAAGATTTTCAAACAGTTAATGCATTTTCACCATATAATGAATAGAGCCCAACCTAACCCAAGAAGCACTAAACCAGAGACCATGATTTTAAAACTTTGAAAGAAGCACTCTTGCTCATTATATCCATGCACTTAATTTTTCTGCTAAATACCCAGGAACAGAGAAAATTTTCAAAGAATTAATGCATTTTTACTATATGATCAATAAAGCCCAGTCCTAACCCCAGAACTCCTCACTCAGGGGTTATGAATTTCACAATTTTGGAATAAACACCCTTGCTTATCATTACCATGCACAAAGTTTGAATTCTTAATACCAAGGAGCAAAGAAGACTTTTAAAGAAATAATGCATTACCATTTTATATGACCAACAGAGCTCCTCCCTAACTCCAGAAGCCCTAACCCAGGGCCACAGATTTCACAATTTTGAAAGAGGCATCCTTGCTCCTTATAACTATGACTTAGTTTGTCTGTTAAATATACAGGAGGGGGGGGGGGGGAAGAGAGGATTTTTTTTTCTCAAAAATTACTATATGATCTACAGAACCCCATTTTATCACCAGGGCTCCGTTTTACAAAAGAACTTATGACTAAGACCAAAATGAAAATTTGTGAATATAACTTCCTATCTTACATTATTTTAATATGGTTTTATCTTTTTTAAAAGAATTTAGAAAGACATTTTTATTATGATAGTAATTTTGAACTGAATCATAAACTTTACTATCAACTTAAGTTTTTAATCTTAGTTGTAAGATCTTTTGTAAAATGGAAACAAGAACCCCTAACCCTGGAACCATGAATTTAACAATTTTGGTACAGGACTCAATGTTTATTATAACCATGCCAACAGTTTGACTGCTTGATGTCCAGGAGCAAAGAAGATTTTAAAGATTGCATTAATTTTGATGTTTCTAGCCTCAAGTCCCAGGTAGCAGGGAACATGGATTTCACAAATTTGTTCCCCTTCACCCACAGATGCTATATGCCAAAATTGGTTAAATTGGTTCAGCCTTTCTAAAGAAGCTGAAAATATTCAAATATTAACGGACAATGAATGACAACAGACATAAACAGATAGCAATAGGTCACCTGAATGACTCAAGTCACCTAAAAAGTTGATAAGTAAAATCTGAACTAAGATACATGTACTGGTAATGCAGAAAATGAGAGCTTTTCATAGTAACCAGAATACTGAATTATTGCTCTACTAAGAATACATTACAATTTCAGATAATGTATGATTCACAGCTAAAAATGTTGAAATTAAGGAGATTTTTAACAAAACATAAAGGCAAGGCTCAACATTAACTAATTAATTTGTCCAATGTCCCTGTGCAGTTCATTTTGTGATCGGACAGCGTTTCTGTACTTTATATCGGTAAAGTTTTTATTTTTCTTGAAAATAAAGTTCCACACAAGTAAAAAATGAATTCGGATAAGTATCATTAGTTGGCAACTTGTCCTATGGACAATTATATTTTTAGGTAATGTTGAGCCCTGGAGGGAATTTAATTTCATTGAATATAAGGTTATTTTTTAGTATGGTTCTCTTCTGTAACGAAATGTCATAACCTGAAGCAGGAGTTGGAATAAAAGTCAATGGCTAAACTGTTACTTTTCATCTTAGAATATTGTATAAAAATTTTCTGGATGAAGAATTTAGAATTGTAAAGAGAATCCTATCAGAAAAAAAGACAAAAAAAAACAATCCTTAATTGTTCTCAACCTGAAAGAAGCAACAAAACAGCATCAATAACCATTTCTCCATTTTGCAGTGACATACTAATCTTCAGATTTTTCATCACCAACTCCATCCTGTATGATATCGGAGTCTTCTCCTTGTTTTAGGCGATTTGACTTTTCCACTCTTAGCTTGCGGCCACGAATTTCCAGATTCTGCAGGGCATCTAGTGCTGCCTCCATTTCCTGCATTTCCTGGAACTGGAGTAAAGAGTAGCCTTTAGCTCCATTCCAGATTACACGGATAGGGTTGACATCCTTCCCACGGATTTCTCCCTTCAATTCACTTACTCTGACCGATCTCTGAATACTTCCTACAAACAATGTGGGGATTGGAGCTCGGGTTCTTGGTCCTCTACGACGTCTTGGACGATAATCATCATGCTCTTCATCATCTCCAGTATTATCAGACTCTTCTCTTCTCCTTGGACGGCGTCTTCTCATATTGCGTCGCCTGGGTGGGCCACGACGACCCTCACCCTCACTTTCACCTTCTTCATGCTCTTGCTCATGTTCATCATCATGGGACTCTTCATTATTGTCTCCATCATCGTGGCGGCGGGATCCTCCTCTACGTCTACGGTATCGACGATTTCTCCTGAATCTAATTTAAAGAAACATCAGTCATGAAATTTTATCAGTGGTAATAAAAAATTCCGACTAACAGCATACATTTCATAAAATGAAAACAGAAGTCTCTATTGAGATTGTAGCTCTACTGATTTGTACTTATACCAGAACCATAAACTGAAAACAGACTTAAAATTTGAAACTTGTGTAACTTTTGAATTTATATTTTGGAAAAAAAAGTTCGAAATGCTTTTACAAGTACTTTAACAATATACAAACCTGCTTCTTTTAAAAAAATTTTGTTAAAGAAAGATCAAGAAAATCAAAATTAAATTTTGACTTAAATCTTTTCTCACTTTATTAAGGTCTTAGGGCCTGGACTTGAGACTTATCAGGGTTTGACACTAACTTTAAAGCCAAAGTAACCGACAGGGCCAGCAATTTCTAATTTCTATTAGCCCTGTTCATGAATTATTTGTCCTGAAACTTCTGGCTGAGTCACAAAGTGATGAGGAGGGTTTACCCCTCTTGCTGGTGGGGGTACTGGGGAGGCTCACCAGGAAAATTTTGAAAATAAAGATGCACAATTCCATTCTGGCTGTATTTTAGGACAAAATTATGTCAATTTACATCAGAGTTTTAAACACTAAGGTGATAGAGATTATTCATAGGTCCAACCAAAATAATGTTGGGCAACAATAAAATTGATAGTTTAACTTTTCTGACAGCGATGATTGAAACTTTATTCCTCAAAACTTGCTAACAAATCTGGAATTTGTACATACTTTTTTCATTTATAAAGCTCTGTAATTGCTTTAAGTGAGTGTGTTGTATTTAGAATTTCAGTAGCCCAGTAGGGCGATGACCTTTATAGCATCAAGTTTTAGTTGTACTGGACTAGCTAGCAGGCTACCTTTAGTGTCGAACCCTACTTAGAAGCTATGGCACTGTCAATAAACAAAATTATGATCCTTGGTTTAGTTTACCTGTGTATCAAGTTTCAACTAGAGGTACTAAAACTCAGAGTAAAACCCCTGCTGCAATTTTGTTTAAGTGTCCATTCAAATTTTGTTAATGTGACCTTGAACTTGCCAAAAAGACCTTGGTTAAAAAAAATGACACATCCTCTGGACATCAGTAATATTCAATGAAATATGAACATGCAATGTTTCTTCATTAGAAAATTATAGACCTGTTACAAATTTTACACTTTTTTATGCCAGTGACCTTGACCTTACCAGAATGACCCTGGGTCAAGATCATGATAAACCCTCAGGTCAAAATCAATCTACAGTCAAACCTATTATCTCAAGAAAAAACTTGGAGAAATCTGAGGACTCAAGATATTAAGGGTAAAATACTAAAGGTATATGTGGTTGGGATTTTCAAATCACTTCAACATATCCATGGTATTCGAGATATCAGAGTTCGAGATACCAAAGTTCAACTGTATGTACTAAATATGAGCTTCCAATGATTCTCCATTGCTAAGTTATAGCCCAGACAAGAATTTTATACTTTTCTGCCAGTGACTTTGAACTTGTCAGAGTGACCTTAGGTTAAGGTCACATCACACCCTCAGATCATAAGCTATCTGTATCAAGTATGAACTTCTAGTGATTCTCCACTACAAAGTTATATTCCTGAAAAGAATTGAATACTTTTTCTGCCAGTGATCTTGAACTTGCCAGAATAACCTTGGGTGAAGGTCATAAGACACCCTTGGTTCATAAGCAATCTCTGTACCAAGTATGAGCTTCCAGTGATTCCCCATTTCAAATCAAAGTTATAGCATGGACAAGAATTTTATACTTTTTCTTAGTGACCTTGAACTTGTACGAATGACCTTGAGTTAACAATCATGTCACATCCTCCAGATATAAGAAATCTCTGTGCCAAGTATAAGCTTCCAGAAGAATTTTACATTTTCTCATAACGGATTGGCCAAAATCAGATGCCCATTTCCAACTAAATGATGTTATATAGATGTAACTCTTTATAGTTACATCTAATCTAAATGTCTTTTATTGCATTGCAAAGATAAGAATGAGAGCTTTCCATTAGTATATAATATCATATACATAGTATCTGCATATTTGAAAAAACAACAGAATAACGTCAAAGATTCATAATTTTTGAAGCTTTATGCTGTGTCACTTGATTTTTTTACATTTTAAATAATGGTTAATTTTAATTATTTTGAATGAAACATTCCAAAATAAATATACTTTATTATAGAGAAATCATTCTGGTTAAGTTTATTTTATACAGAAAAGGAAAAAATTGGGGAAATTACGAATAAATGTGTGCAGACCCTTGTTATATAATTTAAGGTCTAACAATATGTTCCTCAAATATCTATTTTGTTTCTCTTCCTAATATATAAAAGATATTCATAATGAACATTATCATATGATTTCTTAAATGTTTTCAATTTGTCTTAGAAAATAAATGCAATAAAAGTTGTCATTTTGAGAATTCAAGTCATTTCACAATGGATTATATAGGAACACCACCCTCTGGTATCTTGAACAAATGCTTGGTAAGGTACCTCAATTTTTTGTGAGGAAACTTGTTAAAGTAATAATACTTCAATGACAAATTCTTAGGGGAAATTATATATTATTGAGTAATCTCGGTGGAGATTTGGCTGGGCTAGATATTTGGTCTGATGCCCACTGAATCTCGGGTCAGTCCTTCATAATTCATGTCTGGGAATTCAGCCGCAACTTCGGTCGGCTATATCAAGAATTATTCTCCAAGGCGACACTGTCGTTCGCTTCAATTAAGTCATTTAGTTGTTTAATTAACTCTCTGTCACTATTACTTTCACATTGCTTACTGTTGTCGACCTTGATACAAGGATTTCAATGATTTTTCCATCCCTTATAATATTTGTTTATACATCTCCTGTGGTGTAGGCATAGATTATTATTATATCTATTACATTATAGATCCTCAGCTGGTTGTGTTAGAGCTTGACAAATGCCCATCTGCACCCCCCCCCCCCCTTTCAGATTTGACAAGCAGTTCTTCTGTCTAATTCCCAAAGGATACAGATAAGGCCTGCTTGATCAGAGATCCTCTTTAAAAGAAATGATTGAGACAGCTAGCCTTCCTACACTGAACTCATTAATTAATCTTTATCTGCTTTGTAGTACAATAAAAATGTATCTGCACCCCCCCCCCCCCCCCCCCCAAGTATAATTAGTTTTAATTATATTATACAATATCAAATTAGTTTGTTATACAATATCGAATTAATTTATTATACAATATCAAATAAGGTTTAATTACTTTTCCCCAAATTCATTTTAAAAGTTAGGCTAGCCAACTATTTAATCCAACATGGCTGATTCTTTTTGCCCAGTTCCCAAGAGATATAGATAACACCTGCTTGATCAGAGATGCTCTACCAGTCAGCTCCTCACACTAAACCCATTAATTTCTCTCTAATTTGACCTGCAATTTTCCTTGTCCAGTGCTTGATAATTACACCCCTGGGAGAGGTGGAATTTCTCTTGAAACATTATATTTGTTATAGATTGCTGTAAAGTATATAATGAAAAAAATAAGTATTTTCTTGATTAAACTTTTTTTTTTTAATAAGGATACTGCAACACTCTTGCATTTTTTGGGATTGTGTAATCTAATAGTAAAAAGACAGTTTTTTTTTAATTTCACTTAAATTAAAGGTCACAGTGACCTTGAAATAGGTTGCGACACACCTTCTACCTAAGATGCATAAATTGGCCAAGTTTGATGATTCTAAATCTAATAGTTTTCTAGTTATGAGCCTGACAGGATTTTTCCATATTTGGCCATAGAATCTTAATTAAAGGTCAGAGCGACCTACTTTTAGTGTGCGTCACACCTTCTACCCAAGAAGTATCAGCTGACAAAGTTTGATAATCCTAGGCCTCACAGTATTAAAGTTATGAGCCGGACACGAGAAAAGCTAACAGGCAGACAGACGGACGGACATGAACGCCATAACATAATACGTCCCGTCTAAAGACCGGCGTATAAAAAAAAAATGAAGTAATATAGTCCGTAACCCCCCCCCCCCCCAAAATAAAGTGCACTGCCACAGCATGATACACCCGTCAAATATTGTTCAATTATCACGAACAGTTTAGAGTGCAAGAAAATCAAGTGAACCTTGATACAAGGATTTCCAAGATTTTTCCATTTCTTATAATTTTTGTTTATACATTTCCTGTGGTGAAGGCATTATAACAAATATTACAATATAGATCCTCAACTGGAACTGGTAGTGTTAGAGCTTTACAAATGCCCATCTGCAGCCCCCCCCAGTGACACACACACACACACATCTTTCATATTTGTGAGACATGATGCTCTGAAATTTGCTAGTTGATATTTTCAAAAAATTAAATAAGAATGTCATATCATATTAAACAATATCAATTTAGTCTTAACAACTTATGCTATACCAATTTAATTTTAAAATAAAAGACTACATGGCCATCAAATGACATATGCTATAAACTGACCAGCAGTTCTTCTGTCTAATTCCCAAAGGATACAGATAAGAACTTTTTGATCAGAGATGCTCTAACAGAAATGATTGAGACAGCTAGCCTTCCTACACTGAACTCATTAATTAATCTTTAACTGGATGCATGTCCACTCATTACTCCCAAGGGATGAATGGATCTGCGCTATCTGCTTTGTCGTGCAATTAAAATGCATATTTATGTCATTCTGAAATTAAATTTGAAAACAAAGATTTTTTTTTCAATTTGTTACAAAGATTTATAAAAAGAAAAAAAAATTGTTATCTTGATGCAACATTTTTAATAAGGTTTCTGCTTGACTCTTAGATTTGTAGGGACTATCTACCATAATTAAAACTTTTTTTAAAATACTTGGTTTTTTTTTTATTTTTTTTTATTTTAGATTCAATGTCAGAGTGGTTTTAAGCTGCAATTCATATGGACAACGGGCATGCTAATTCCAATTCCAATATCATACCCCCCCCCCCCGAGTATAATTAGTTTTAATTAATTA